GAAAACAATCAATGGTGATCATTAAAATCCGAACATACTTTGTCCCAAGAAATATAAGCGTCTTTTCGTTTGAAACAAAACAAAACTTTCCAACGAACATTTTGCTCCCATGTAAAATATTTTCTTCGCGATTTGGAGATTGATTGGTAATAAAAATGTGGAAAAAGCTTATAATAAGGCCTATAATATAGTACTCATGAAGCATCCAGAACGCTTTTGACTTCAGAATGATATCATTTAGTTTCCTTTACTTGATAAGGATGTTGATTCCTTCAAGTGATGAGTATCTAGCGATAAAATATTCTAGTATTTGAACTAGTAGTACTTACCAACTTGTAAAGGTCAAAAGTTTATAGTATTCTAACAAGTACGATGTCACACACAAATTATTACAACAAGGTTAAAACAAGGTTATCACCAAAACAGTTTTTTCTGCTATGCTGTATCCATTCGGTTAAACAGATATGAGTTGTAACTGCCATACAGTGATCCCTTTACGTCTGGTGTGAAGAAAGTTTCGCTTGGTGATATAAGTATACGAACCTGCATCGGTTGACTTGCACAGGATTATCTTTTTTACAGGATGATTGGATTCTACTAGACATTCCAAAGAGTCAGCGGTTTGTATTAACTGAACCCCGTAAATTTGCTAAGCAAATTATCACAAAAAGATTTATTTCAAACTCTTTCTACAACTCTCAGTGGAGCGTACTGAGGAAAAATCAGTTTAGGATTAAAAACTCCAACTTAGATAACGCTACTTGTTTCTAATCAAGCTACAGTCTAACTTCGTCTTAAAACACTTAAAAAGAGTGACAAAGTGAAATAAAAATTGACATGGTTATTTTTATTGAAGTCGGGGTTCGACTTCATCCAAGCAAGAGTGTCCATACGTGTCTTTACCCCTCAATACCTCTTCAATTCCGAAAGTCTTTAATCTCATAGTGCTCAGACCAACAGCAGTCATTGGACAAAGCACTATTAACTAAGCCTAATTAGCTGTCGTTTCATCCTTTTAATATCCGATTAACTAGATAAACCCAGTTTAAGTAGGTCTGAAAAACTCGGAGTCTGAGTAAAAGGAAACTAAAACTAGCAACTCAGTCGTGGTAAGGAATGAACAAATAAGTAAGTATGTCACTAGCAATCACATTTAACAGACAATTTAATCGGCAATGGCGAAATAACGATCTCGAAGATATTGCGATTATACTAAACACCCGCACGAAAACCACGACCATTTTTATCCATGTTGATAATAAAACAAAGTTCAACAAGGAACTAGCGGGACATAAAATTGTGCATTGGGCATATGTAGAGAAATATATTGGTCAAACTATGACCATAGTCTCACGAAGTACTTTTTCATCTTTACATCACATATGTAACTTCGTAACTAGGAAATTATCTGCTCATTACTAGTGAAAAGATCCAGGGTAGAAAAATATGGCGAATGAGAATTGGACTAGCTGCATAGTTAACTACTTTATGTTGTGCCTAAATATATCACAATAACACAATGCGACTCCATATTGCATGCTTGAAATCTGAGTTCGTGATAGTGTCACTGGAACTATTGGGATCAGTTCTGTTCCGTTATATAATTTAAACAGCAAATCATGCGATAATTACAGATAAAGCTGCAATAAATGCGACGTTTTTCTTGGATTTTAGGGCAGAATAAGACTACTACTCGATGAAAACTGTTTTACTGCGTGCCAATATGGTTGTAAATTCTTTATGCTCACAACTTTATGGCCAAATAGGTTTTAAATGTTGTTTTTGTTGTTTGTTTGATGGTGTGAGTGCTCAGTTTTACTGGTTACAGCGCATATAAGTGTCCTAAATCGATCGCCGTACCATTAGATAAACGAGTTTCAACGTGCATGGGTCTTGACTTCATTAGAGCACTTTCTGATTTATGACTGTGATCAAATGACGCACTAATCTATATATTGCCGACAAAGCAAGTACATGCCATTTTTCAAGCCTAATGATTTACAGTATTGGATTGTAAATTTGATGCTCGCCATGTAGGCTTAATAAACAGAAGAAATCAATTAAAATAAAGAGCAGCACATTCGTGCAGAGGTTCCAGAAATTTAATAATCAGGTTTGTTTCATGATATTGTACTGCGAGATAAGCATCAAGTCTACGTTGTGATAATCGAAAATGCTCAGCTGGTCCAGATTCCGAATTTTCGTTTTACAATTATAATTCTACCAAGTATTTTTTGCGGATCAACTATCTAAGAAATTTACAGTTGTTATAAAGTAAATATGCGGAGCGCCTGGCATAGGATGTAGTTCCGAAAAAGTTCCTGAAGTTTGTTTCAGATGTAAGAAGTTCCATAACCGTTTACTGAGAGCGTGATGCTGAAGAAAGAAAATAGGAGCAGTAAGGTATTTTTACGCAAACCCTAAACAATGTTTAACTGTTTGTAGTGGAAAAGACAAGGCTATGGTAAATTAGTAGATAAAACTTACAAGCTACTTTTAGTCGTACTTGATGGAGTTGCTCCATCTATCCGACTTCTAACAATCAGACTTCCGAGATAGACGTAGCTGTGCTTGATGACTGATTTAGCTAGAGTTTACCGAATTTTTATTAACCAAATGGGGTCATCATATTGCAGCCTAGATTTCCACCTAACTGGTGATGAAAATAAGATCATAATGATGGTTTTTTGATGCAAATGAAGATGGCCTGAAAGCACTTAAACGACTGATTCGTCCGAAAGCGTCCATGATATCACAAACATGACTTTGAATTGACAAGTTAACACGATAGAACCATATAATAAACTCTTTTGGAATGATCGGCCTTCACGTTTTCACAGCTGGGTCTCAAATAGCCGAAAGCGAAACTGAACAATACCCTTTCTAAACGAATAGGAAGGTTCTGTAGTTACGAGGTTGTAGATAACGAACTAGGAATCCATAAGAAAATACTTATCGAAAAGGAGCATCCTCCGATATTTACTGACAACTGAAACCACAGTTAAGACAAATAACCTCGGCAGCAGTGACAACACCTTATATGGACATCGATTTTAAAGGTGATTTGGTACAGGTGTACTAAGGGGTAGAATTTAAGATTCCTTTAAAAGAATGTCCTCCACAACATCTCTGTGATATGTTCTCCAGCTGGTCAGTGCTAACCAATAACCTTAAGGATAAACTGTCTCATGTGAACAGGTCCGTATGCATTTGTCAGTTTATCCTTTCATACGGAGTCAGGTATATCGGTTGATTGACACGTACTTAGTCCAAAAGGACCAGAGAACATCATCTTGTTTGGCTTAGAGAAGGCGAAAATGTCTCTATAATAAGACTCGTTATCTTTCTTTTTCCTCTCACTTTTCTTTCTTCACAGATATCTGTTTTCCTCCCATCTTCACCACTGACCATTTACTCCCAAGTATTTTTCGTTTTTCTGCTTCGATGATCCGAATGGTTATAGTTAATCTCAACTCCAAAATCTTGTCTAACCAAACTGAGTCGATGACACTTTCACTATTTATCAGCATGATGAATAGTCGAGCTCTTGACAAAAAAACTATTATTAGTTTCTCTGATAAAAAATGGTTTATACTTTTGCTTAGCTTATTTCGTTATTTAACAGAATTTTTTGAACACCATTATTGCTAACATTATCATCTTGAAGAATAATTCTGTACTTGCAATTGCATAGCTTTGAAAATAAAATTGGTGAAAAAAGAACTCTTCGCTGAACCGACTTTTACTATGTTAGATTTTTTGAAATCGTTCAGTGTGTTATTTAGTGATTCTAAGGATGAAGTAGAACTATGGAAAATGTGAACGAGGACAACATTTATTCTCAGAAGAAGTCTGTGGTAAGCAATCTCATAGCCTGAGTGCACGTAGTTTTAATTATCTAGGATGTACGCCGATTCATAAATATGATTGGTATGATGAAGTTAATGTTCTCCACTTTATTTAGCTTTACACGACTGAGTGCCTCAAGCTGTCATATCTCTCTATAATACTATTGTAAGTGGGAATACATTTTTATGTCTAAATTGTATAGTTGATAGCTACACTCCTTTTTTGTATTTTTCTTCATAATCTCGAAGACGAAGTTGTTAGGTTTGATGATGTCACAGGTATTCAGTGTTTGACAACGCTTCTACCAGTAACACCTTCTAATGTATTTCGTTCCCACCCGGAGAAATCAAAAGACAGAGTCGAGGAGATCGGAAGAGTGTATTTGGCGATGACCAATATATCGGAATTCTCTGATCTAATCTGGCTAGCGATTGCGGTTGATGTTGAGCACGGCGTTACCACACGTGATCTGGTGCGGATGCCTGACCGAGCGCCTTCAGCTAGATGAGTCCACTAAAACATATGGTCAGCATCCAATGTCGAAAACTTAGTGCTATTTATTTTGGGCATTTATTTACCGCTACAGATCACTCCCCCCTAGTGGGTTAGTGATGACCCTAAGACGTGGCCAGCCAGAAGTTTAAACCCAGCGAGTTTGTCGTTGGTAAACACTCTTCTGATAGCTTACTAAATTTAGCAGCGTCTGGTCGTCTTTCCTTACTATATGGGACCGAGGTACAACATAGTAAAAAAAGAAAAAGTACGATGAAAATTTCGACTCCTCATAAAAGTCATCGTTCTTTTCCAATCGGCCTGGAAAAGAAAAAAAGAAAATGTAAGTGCATGTCGAAATACACTCGTATGTGCGTAAAAACACAATGTTGGCGAAAAAAATGGAATCTAAACTAATTTACACGTAATAGCGTTAAAAAATTGTTTTTTTGTTATTTTTATTTACCGCTACAGGTTCAAAAATGAATGCAACTTATTTAGGAAAATGTTCTGTAAACAACTTGTGGCTTCCGAATGGATTTTTATTCTAGCTTATATATTCAGATGACTTATAGTGTTGATACAGCTCGACGTTATGGTTCCTAGTACATCTGTACGAAATTTGAATTTCTGAAGGCTTATGGGCAGATCAAGGTCGGATGGAGTTTTCGTGTGTTTCTGAGATAGAACATTGCTTAGGAGGAATAAAACAGTTCTTGAGGTGCCCCATATGGTGAGTTACTCAACGAAATGAGTTATATTGAGATAGTTTGGATGATGTTCAGAATCCTGTTGTAACACCATGCTCTCATATTTACTGCAAGTTTTGTATGGATAAGCATTTTGAGAAGAAAAGAAGTGCCAGCTGCCCGCTTTGTAACAAGAATCTTTCTTCCAGGTGATATTTTGTCTCTGACTTTACTTTCCAGGTCTTTAAAGAGTTCGAGCAAAGTTGTAACTGTAATCGACTTATGTAAGAAAGTTATATCGACTTATGAATCTGAAGCAAAAACTAAACGTTGGTTATGTGATTTTGCTGTTTATCTCTTTAGTTGTCTCACGGGACCTTGTAGGTAGCTTGCATCTCAGTCAGGAGCTGACACAGGTAGCACTATATTTGTATTAGTTAATACTTTGACCACTAGGTGGATGTAACTGCTTCATGTGTCTTACCAAGTAGTAGAAACTCTGAAGATTTTCAAGTCAGCGGTGAGGAGTCGCACCCTCGACCTCGCAATCGCATTCTTTTGGGCACCACGGCACGCACACAACGAACAAAGCAAATGAACAAGCAGCGCAGTGCTTTACCCTTTGAAGAGGTTCTTACACAGCCAATGCGCAGTTTGTGTGCCTATACCGAAGTAAAAGAGCTTAGTTTGCCAAAACAAGATGTAGAGAACCATGATGCGTTCCTCGATATATTTAGTCTTACACAACAAACTCAACCGATGATAGATTCATTCGATAGTGGTTCATTGTTTGCACCAGTTGAAGGTATGGGTCATACAGACTTTTCAGACAATACTCGTGTAGGTCACACTACTCAAAAAAATGAATCAAAACCTATATCAAAATTACTTCGGAAAACTTCGAAAAGGATTAAGCGTGCTGCATGTTTGCCGCCTCTCCCACCAGTCACGCGAACAACTGTTTTGACGCGTAACAGTCCAGAAGCTGTTTCTCACAGCTCTCTACCTTCACATAACTCTGTGTCACTGAAAAGGTCATCTGATTCACCGTTCGCGGATGGGAAAAACAGTAAACAAAGTCGAAGAGAATCGAATTGTTCTGTTTTGTCTGGTCAGGGGTTGGTTACGAAAACGCACGAGGTTTTGTGTCATGTACAACCGTCAGAAAATGTAGGTATCAACACTAAGAGCTTCAACAGTCTCTTCAACCAGGAGGAAACCAAAAGTAAGTTGGATATAGAACCAGTCGTTCCCCATAAACCAACGTCAGCTTGCAACCCAAAGAAACGTTCTCACTCGTTCAGTGGGTCTTTGTCTCATACTTCGTCGGTACTAGTTGGCAAACGCTTGCTTCAAAAGTATCGTAGTAGACCTCACCGTCTGTCAACGACTCAGCATAGTATTTCTACCAAAAGCCCGGGTTGGTCTCGTTGGCGTCAAATGTGTCACGAACTGAGACGTCGAAGTTCGTCATTGCGAATAACATTTCATAGGTCATCTAGTTTGGTTGGTAAAGTTGGATCAAAAGCTTCTGAACCACACGAAAGTCGCAAAATACGTACTATTAGAGATTTTTCTAGACGTTCCTCCCTTTCCAGTCTCGGCATTTCTTGCCTAAATGGGGACGTAGTGTTAGTCGAAGCAGACGTAGGACCAGTGAGAAAACAGTTGAAACTCCTTTGCCTCATGGTAAGCAAGAAGATATATCCGATATTTCACTTAATATCGTCCAAGAACACAGTACAACATCAAACAAATCTCAAAATGGTTTCAGCCCAGTATCGCGTTTAACAAAAGCGGATTGTCCTAAAGAAACGTGCCATTTCATTATGCCATTGCGACGTCTGATTTCTCGTGACTACTTTCATTCGAAGTCACTACGCTCTCGTCTTCGTTCTTCTCTGCGTCAAAATGAAGCTGCTGTTTCTCCTATCATTCAGGTCAAGTCACCACATGGTTACTCTGCTTATAAATGTGATTTGGACTCTCCTGAACCTCGTGGACAGCTTAACGGGTCTAACATTTCTAACACATCATATTCAGCAGTGGATTCTTGTGAAATTTACTGTCAGCCTTTACATTGTAGTGCTTGTGGGGAGACGCTAGTATTACATACAGATATCAATAGTGCAAACATGATATCGCCAGGACCTCAGTTTTCGGAATTGCTACTCCGTCCACCTGTTTCCATTCTCTCGAGCTCCATGTCTTCCTCATATTGGCAGGCTGAAGACCCAGGAGATACAATCTTTACGGATGCTCATCTAGATGCTCTGGTTGAGGTGAATCGCCGTTACATATCAGAATCTGATGGAGATTGTAATCTAAAGCATTCTAGTGTATCTCTTCCCAGAAATTCCTATAGATCGTATCTCCAAACCGATTCGGTTAGTTTACTTTTAAACAGTTGAACAGGGATTTTGTTTATAAAAAACATCCTATAAACCTTTAAGTATATATTCTGAATGAATTTGGGTTTAAAATATAAATAGACCATGAAGGACTTAATTCTTACTCTTCTGAGAATAGGGTATGTCTGGTTATTTTCAGCATTCATCTTCAAGACAGTTTCTACCAGAGTGTTTCTGCACTAAGGACTTTGCACATTGTGATCCTTATGAGTGTTTAGTCTCTCAGATGAAGCATCTCATGGACTTCGGGTGCGGAGATAAAGGGGTTAACAAAATACCATCTCTTGAATGCTTTGGATAACAGTACTGGAGTGCTTAGGATGTGTTTGTCATTCTCTAAGTGTAAAATGTTTCTTCAGTACCTATTCACACCAGTTTCTAGTCTGGTCAACAGTAAATTGAACGCGTTGAGTATTTAACTTGTGATCTCAATCCTATCTTCCTCTGAGCTTAATCGACTGGTGACATCTTTTTAGAGATAAAGCTCACTTAACCTGCTTCCCGTAACATATACAAACTACAATTACTTATCAAAGAACTAATGTACTGCGGAGCGGTTCGCTCCAAATTACTTTAAGACTGTGAAATATGGCTTGTAAATTTAGGGCGGACGTACGAGTTACAAATATCTAGTAAATACCTTCGAACAAAGCCATACAATAGTCAGCATTGCTATTAGTGTAGACTGATTTGGTTGTGAACTCGCATAGATTTGAGTGACCGATCTGTTTCCTTTGTTACTGTATGAGCTCTACATGATAACCGCCTAATTTGTTAGTAGTACATAAATCCTTAAAAGCTACTTTTTGTCCAACTTTATCTGTAATTCTTATCTCTAAATATTTCTTGTATTTTTAAATACTTAAGTGCCGTTAATATTTTCTAAAACTAAACCATTTAAAATTTACTTGTAATTTTGTAGAGAGACAATGCACTTAGTCACTGTGAAGTCCAATCTGGTGTCAAGGTTCCAAATTTAGTTGGACCATCACTAAAACCTTACAACTCACCTACACTACCGTCAAATAGTTCTTACAGTAATGCTCAACGAAATAGAACTGATGAGTCGGAAAAAATACATGGTGAAAACATAGCGAACAGTGAATCTCCAACCGAGCAGCACAGTGATTTCTCTAGGTTTCCTGATCATTCTACCTTTTCCACTTTTCAAGGTAGCAGTAGTGAGATTATGCCAACCGTGGTGAGTTTTGTTTACTACCTAGTATTTTATTTTTCCCAACCGTTGTTGCTACCTTGACGTGGTGGTCGGGCTTGCCTATCGTGATGAAGCAACCGAGCTATACTGGCTGGAACAACCGTTCCTCAAGGTCCTACCATGTCAGACAGGTCGGTTGAAGAGCGGTAAGACTAAAAGCAACAAACCCAAGGTCCGAAGGCGAAGTCGTACTGCTGACTGTACAGAGGTGTGACAGCAGTAAGGTGTTTCCTTCAGACAACCAGCATGACAGCGATGCTGCCTTCCCACAAGGAGGGGTGGGGTTAGAAAAGGTCGACCCTAAAAATGCACACCTCGCCTTATCCCACGGATATCCGTCTCCGGCGGTAAGGTCTCAATAAGTACGGAGCTAACACAAAAATTACCCATAAAAAGGTCGTGTGTGACCGACCTCAAGCAGTTGTCCCTTGGGCACTGCGGTCACGCTCTCAGGTCACTAAGACCACTTCTAATCCAATTTCCTTTTCAGGTACCTCCAGAAGAACCCTTCCACGGTGTGGGCAACCGGGAAGTGATAACCGCCCTCATACCTCTAACAGCACTCAAGACCACTGTATTCATAATCAACCTCCTCTTCAATTCCTATTATTCCTCCTACATCGACTTTCAACTCTAAACTTCTTTTTCGGCTTCCCCCTCAAGTGTCACCATAGCCAACGATTCTAGTGCGCAAAACACTGTCCCAGGTCTACTGAAACCTCGCTCCAAACTACACATTGGAGCCTTCAACGTACGCACCCTATGTCAAATCGGTCAGCAGGCTTCCTTGGCTAAAACCCTAGAGTCTCTTTCCATTGATGTATGCTGTGTCTCCGAAACACGCATACAGGATTCCAGTGTGGTCATTCACTTGACCTCACCTCGGCAAACGGAGAGCCAACGAGATACACCCTTCGTGTATCTGGTGACCCGATGGCAGTTCTCGTGGACTGGCAGGTGTAGGCATAGCACTAAGCATGAGGGCGGAACAAGCACTGCTAGAGTGGATCCCCGTCAACAGTCGTCTATGTGCTGTTCGGCTGAACGGCTACGTAAGAACTCGGAAGGATAGGGACACACGTCGTTGCCTTTTTGTCGTTTCTGCCTACGCTCCCACTGACTGCAGCTCAGATGAAGTGAAAGATGAATTTTACAGAAAGCTATCCGAACTTCTTCAGAAAGCTAAACGCTCAGACATAGTACTCGTAGCAGGTGATTTTAATGCTCAGATAGGTAGTTTAAACCAAACAGAAAGGCATTTAGGTGGATATTTTAGTATTCCGACACAGCGAACAGATAATGGTGATCGTCTGCTGCAGCTATGCTCAGACAATCGTTTATTTTTAGCAAACACAAATTTTAAGCATAAGGAGAGACATCGTCTAACATGGCGACCCCCTACACCAAACCAACGATGGACTCAAATAGACCATATTGCCATCAGTCATCGTTGGAGAGGGTCGGTAGAAGATTGTCGCTCATTCTGGAGTACCTGCTTGGACTCCGACCATGCCCTAATACGGGCACGCATCTGCTTGCGCCTCACTGGACGCAAAAAAGCCACATTAAAAAGACCCATTAGAACTGAGTTGAGTAACGAGAAAACCAAAAGTAGGTTCCAGGAACAACTGAGGTCACACTTAGGTAGTTGTGAAGACGAGGCTGACCCAGATGTTGCTTGGAAGGATATACAAGCAGCTGTGGAAACAGCAGTGACATCTATTAGTGACTTAAACCACAGAGTTACAAGGAACCAGTGGATTTCTTCAAGGTCTGTCACACTGATGGATTCTCGCAAACTCGTCCCATCAGGTTCTGAACATGATGAAGAGCGACAACAAATCAGATCTAGGTTAAGAAAAAGTCTAAGGAACGACCGTGAGCAGTGGTGGGCAACGAAAGCAAAAGAGATGGAAAAGGCGGCGACTATAGGGAACACAAGACAGCTTTACAGACTAATAAAAGAAACTGGAATTAATAAGTCAAGTGTAAGTGAGATTATTTCGGAAAAAGACGATACTCTCATCTGCTCCCAGTCCAGACGTTTAGAACGATGGGCGGAACATTTTAGAGAACAGTTCAGCTGGCCTTCAGCTACTCTACAACTACCCTCCATTCCCAGACAGTGTGAATGGAACATTGAAGTAGGTCCCCCAACTCTTGCTGAAGTTCAAAAGGCTATAGTTAATCTGAAACGAGGAAGGGCAGCTGGTCCAGATGGATTGGCTCCAGAAGTCTTTAAGGATGGTGGTCCAATTTTAGCGATTAGGTTGACTAATATTTTAGCTAAGATCTGGGAGTTAGACGTTATCCCATCTGACTGGTCGCAATCACTTATCGTCCCAATATATAAGAAAGGGTCAAAATCATCCTGTGACAACCACAGAGGGATTAGTTTAACAAATATAGTATCTAAAATACTGGCCTCGATAATTATCAACGCCTAACTAAGACTCGTGAACTACAAACACGAGAGAACCAAGCTGGCTTTAGACCTGGTCGTGGCTGCATCGACCACATATTCACCATTCGTCAGGTTCTAGAACACAGGCATACTTATCGGCGTCCGACAATGGTGGTCTTTCTTGACTTAAAAGCAGCATTTGACTCTGTAGACCGCGAGATTCTGTGGCAGTGTCTGTCATTGAAAGGCGTACCTCAGAAGTACATAAACCTTGTGAAGGCTCTTTACTCGAACACTACTAGTCGAGTCAGGCTTATGGCGAACTGTCATCTACTTTTGCAACCTCAAGTGGTGTCCGTCAAGGCTGTCCACTTTCTCCATTTTTGTTTAACTTCATCATAGACCTATTGATGGAAATAACACTCTCGTCGACTGAATTCTCGGGTATTGATCTCCTTCCAGGAGGTCCACTTATCGACTTAGAATACGCAGATGACATAGTCCTGTTTGGTGAAGACGCTGACAAAATGCAGAGTCTTCTGGTAGCACTAAGCAACAATGCCAGAATGTTTGGGATGCGCTTCTCTCCCTCTAAATGCAAGTTGTTGCTTCAGGACTGGTCTGCGTCAACACCTGAACTAAGGATAGGGAGTGAAGTAGTCGAACGCGTTGACAACTTCACTTATCTTGGAAGTCTGATCAGCCCTAATGGGTTGGTGTCTGACGAAATCTCAGCACGGATTCGAAAAGCTCGTTTGGCTTTTGCCAACTTACGTCACCTTTGGCGAGGCGAGATATCCGTCTATCAATAAAAGGACGAGTATACTGCGCGGCAGTCCGTTCTGTTTTAATTTACGGCAGCGAAACATGGCCTTAAGAGTAGAAGACACCCGTAAGCTACTAGTATTTGACCACAGATGCCTTAGAAATATTGCTGGCATCTGCTGGGATCACCGGGTAAGTAATAGTGAGGTTAGACGCAGGGTATTAGGGAATGATGGTAAATCAGTTGATGAGGTTATGAATCTTCATCGACTGAGATGGTTGGGCCACGTGTTACGTATGCCTGAACACCGATTACCACGTGTGCAATGCTAACCGGTGTTAGGGATGGTTGGAAGAAAGTTAGGGGCGGCCAAACCAAAACGTGGCATCAGTGCTTGAAGTCACTAACTTCTAGTCTGAGCCATGTTGGTAGATGCAGACTACTTGGTTGGGGTCCGCGTGACTTTCGTAACCAATGGTTGGAGACTCTTGGTGACATGGCTCAGAATCGATCACAATGGCGTCGGTGTATACACTCTCTGTCTTCCTTAAACTAAGAGATTAAAATCACTTCATATCTTTCTTTCTACGAACCAATTCTTTCTTCTTGTATTATATCTCTATATGCAATCTTTCTCTTATATATTACCACCTTTGACATAACCACTGCTATGAATCCGGTGTTCATCTTGCTGTGCTAATGAGGTATGGCAACCTGGACCGATGCATATATGTGCCTGGTCCTACGTTGTAGCTGACTGACTGACTGACTCGTATTATATTTTACTATGTAAATTTCATCTAGTTTATGCTAAACTCGTGAACTTGTATTTATCCGAATTACCTAAACCAAAGAATATCTAAACCTTTTCGCGGTGTAATATGATAATAATGATCTTAGTTGTAAACTTACTAATGAATAGTTTTGAAACACGTTATAAAGTCAGGTACTGGAAGTTTTCATCTCAAGATTATCTACCGTTATACACGTTGACAATATTACTATTGATATAGTTGGTCCAATAATTATTTCGAAGTACTAAGCCATTTTGTTTTACAATATGCTCAGTATATTTCGAGTCATTTTTCGTTTCGCTCCTGGAAATATCTGTTTAAATTGTTTGGTAATTTTGTTGATGTTTGGTAGAGAAGGCAATAGAAGAAACACGGGCTTAATTATAGATTGACAAATAAAAACATGTTTTATTTCAAAGCACTCCCTTATCACTTCCAGTTTTATCCAGGTTCGTAACTGATTTGGGAACGTTTGACACTTGTTGCTATATTACCGTTCTCGCCAACAAGTTGCGTTTACGTTTTTGTTTTAGATCTAACTTTCAGAGAACGAGTGAACTTTTGTACGAGTACTATGTATTCTACTAGCTTAGTAAAGTAGTGATATTAAGTGATTTTTGAACCCTATGGCTATTAGTTGAAAGACAAATGATTGAGTCATCGAGTCGCAACACTACGCATAAGGCAGGAAATACTGAAAAAAATTGATTTAAAAGCCCCATATAATTCTATTTCAGCGATACTTCACAGATGTATTTTGGCAAAATTATTTAATTATATGTAGTTTTGTTGCTATTCGTTCCGATTACCTAGAAACTCACGATACATATTTTTGGCAATTTTAGTGAACTTTTGACAAATTATTCTAATCGATATCCCAGAAAAATTGCTAGTAATCCTATTTAACTTGATCGTGGTATGTCTGATTATTTTAGGATCGTGAGCGTTTGCGTCACGAATGTGAAGAGTTGGAAGCCGTAGTCGCAGCTTTACAGAAGCAGTTGGAGGCTCAAGCTGATGAACTCAGTCCTGAATCAACTGCTGAGATCCTTAAATCAGCCTGTACAGAACCTTTAGATGATGCTCCTGTTGGCGTAACATCATTTACAGAATGTGTTCCACAGCAGAGTCACAATGAAATACGAATGTTTCCTGGTAGTGATGTAAAACATGCCATAGTGAGCGTCGAAAAGCTTCAAACTCATGAACCAATGGCCATTCAGTCGTCCCAAGATTGTCTCAGGTTAAGAACTTTATTTACTTTTCTAGTTTCTTTTAACCATAGTGTTTTCACTAAGTCTATTCGTGTTCTGTTTGACTTGTGAAATACATACAATCAGATTGTATCGTAGTTGGGTGATACAGCAGTTGTAGTACAGAATCCTAAACGATTTTACAGCTTCCCACGTATTCTAACTTTTTGGAACATGGATAATTTAGAGAAAAAAACAATTGTTATAACTAGTGAACGAAATGGTGGCTTAGTGATTACAATGTCTGACTTTCAGCCCCCAAGTCCCACGTTTAAATCCTGTCCCCGCTATAGCCTTTCTACAATTAAGTTTGTCTACGGTTAATTCTGTCAAGTCCTTCAACTAACTTATTCAACAGACACTGTTATTCGAACAGTAACAATCTGTCTATTTCTTCGTATGGTTATTACTGTTACCATCATGTCCGTGTGTCATTTATGCTTGGTCACGTGTGACGGCCTACGCATTTATTCTTCACTCTACCTCAAATGTTCGTCGCTTAAATATTGCTTGGTGAGTCATTCACTTTCCCATATATATGAGCTTGAACTTTAGCAATTGATTCGATTCGACTTGACTCTGAATCCGCCTCTGCATTCGCTTGCTCGCGCACTAGCCTTTCTGCTCAAATTCGCTTTATGTGTTTGTAACTTTGTTATTTGCTCTATCCAGTAATAAATTGTAGTTGGTGCTTTGTGTTTGCTTGTGAATTTATACACCGTTGGGATTTATTTGATAACGGGCATCAGGGTGATTGGTAAACGAAGCTTAAGGAATTATCTCGAAGCCAAGCTACTACACCTCTACTTCGGTTTAGGCAAGCCATACAGTATCATCAAACCACAGTGTGGTTCATACGCATGTGACTTGGTTATTGGGTTTGAGTAAACGTAGAAATATTGTTTAAGTGTTTAAATGCTTGCACCTCATAGTTCTGACGCTAATTGTTAACAAAAGACCAATAATAATTTACGCGTTTAGTGTGCTCTTCTATTGTTTCTTTTTTATGTTTCGGTTTTCCGACTATGATCTGTTGTCAAGTAACAGTAGTTTAGTTTGAATTCCCACTAACCCCTCTAGCTCAACTTGGTTGTATAAACATCGTTTTTGAATTGTTCAGAAGTCCCATTCCTTGGGAAGATTCTATATTTGGATCAGGAAATTCGTTTTTATCATTTTAGTTCAATATGAATTTTTCATGATTTTTTGATATCTAAATGTACATGATGCTGGTCAGAAGTCTTTTGATATTTTTTATGTTCATAATTTAGGTTTTAGAAACTTGTGCTTCCGAAACGGTTGATATTATTCCATCCTCTCAAACAGAAGAGGAACCAGAAAATTATCATGTCAATGTAATGGATCCACCTATTATTTCTCAGCCTACGGTAGCAAGTTCTAATCCTGGGCAGTCAAACCAAAATGAATGGAGAAATGTAACCAGCCCTCTGAATAATTCTATTTGTGACTTCATTCCTGGTTCATTATCCGCATCTACACAGAATGTTCGTGATCCCATTTCATCAACTCAAAATCCAATGAGTAATATTACCCAGTGTCCAGAAACAAACTTGAGTTCATGTAACACACTCGTAGATGAAAACTGGCCCCCAAAGTTTTCTGATAAATGTCAGCGAAATATTGCTGTTACGGGTTCCAATTTATCGCCTTCTGATACTGTACGTTTTTAATAATTGTCTCTTATTTTCCTTGTTTTTTTTCTGAAGAACTGTGTATGTAACTTTGAAGGGATAAGTAATATTGTCTTTTTCAATGTGTATAAGCTTTGTGTGTTATTCATATAAATGCTCGACGTGGACACAATCATTTGTCAAAAATGCTAGTTTCTAACAGTCTATACGAAACTCACCACCAAAGTTCATTACTTGTAGAATTTCAGCATACCGTCCGCTCATATTTTATTTGACTAGTCTTTGTTAATCTATTTCAACATTCCTAATCTAATCGTTTTAGATTACACCATAGCATGTGATTTAATCAACCTTTTTAATACAGAAGAATCTTGGTATTACTTATATAATTAACAGCTTGTTAACATACATAGCACCTGACTCGTCGCATACTTGGATAGTCTCGTAAACTTCTAAGTGTCAGTTCTTCCATTAGCGATGGAATAGTGCTTGACTGTATAGTTCTTAACTAGGTTCGATGAAGATTTGTAGTATATACGTTTATTCCAATTAAGTTGTAGCTTGATTATTATTTCGGGATGAACTGGTATCTTCAATCCTCATACTTATAAATGCTGCTGGAAGCAACGACATCATTGCTAAGTTTCGTAAATTTATTTTGTCTAATTCAATTTAGTAATATCTACTTTATACGTCTAATTAAGGTGAAATAATTTTTCGAATTTTTGATATAGAAAGTAACTCAGTTTCATGATTCTTGATTTACTCTCCAGATTGATAAACTAGTGTATATCGTCTTACTTTTCAGACCATTTAAATCGTATGACTACTGTGTTTATAAATTTATTTTCCATTTGTTATGATCATGCTGTCAGGTGACTTTTTCTTCTTTCGTCACATTGAAATACATCTCATATTCATTCTTTCCTGATTTGTATTTATATGTATGCAGTTAGTTAGCTAATGGTTGTCTTTTGAACTAGACTCGGTTGACATTTTGGACCTGTTACATGAATAAATCTTTTGTCTGACTACCTTAATTATTTTAGTGTTTTATTAAACATTTCGTCGAAATAAAAAGATACTGGATTGGAATAAGTACTAAAAGGTTTCATTAATAAAAATACCGAGATTATAAAACTGATAGGAGTGTATAAATATGATTATCTCTTTATCATTAAGTACAGTTATTCCGATTACGTTGTGTTTTAAATTTCTGAACTATTTTTATATTTAGGCTTTACTGCGTAAATTTTGTTTACAATTCAGTGTTTCGGAACACAGTCGTTTCATTCCTCAAAAGACAACTCATGTAGTAATTAAAGAAGAAGCAGGTAAGTAATATTACTTGACAAGATACTTCCAGTGCTATTCTAATGTAATATGTTTAATTTTTTTCAAAGAATTTTTTTCATATTGATTTTATCAAATAAAATGGTTGGTTAACTCTGATGAGATAAAAGTAGAAAACCTCTTCCTTGCTTTCAGTAGTATACAATTGTATTACCATAGAATTTAATAGCATTCTTAAAACTTATTTAGCTAGCCAAACTGATAACCAAATATGTCCCTATTGAATCATGACCAAATAATTGGATTCGAGAAAATTTGACAACTTTCCTTGATACGTAGAATGACCCAATATTAAAGCAAACGGAACAGAAAGGATTGGACTAATTTAAGCTTGGTCATCATGTTTTATGCATATCGAATAAATACCGCCCGTAATGTTACCAAACAAATCATATTATTTTTGTGTGACAGCCTCATAACAAACCATGAAATTGCACTCACCTCAGTGATGAATTTTGTTGTTGTGTTAAAGAAAGCAAACGAATTATTTTTAGTTGTTTTTGCTTACAGTGTTAAGAAAAACAGTTCTAAAAATTCCAGCATTTCGCGTTAGTACCGCCTGATTGACAATCCGCTTACATACGTGTTAAAATTGCTTAACTCTTGATCTTAATTATTTCCACTTTTCAGTATCATTTCTATTATATCCTTGTGACACTCATTGTGTACACAAATATTGTTTGTACTATTTTTGTCAGGTTTACTAATTTAGAAATTGAATAACAAAACAATTTAGGACGGATTCTTTTTAAATGGTTTCATTTTCAAAGCTGTAAAACGCATATATATATATATATATATATATATATATACTATTGTATAGTTTGAAAATACAGACTGAAAAGAAGGATTTCTGATCACAATACCAAAGATAGGCGATCTCAGCAACTATGATAACTACAGGGGAATGACTCTCCTCTCAATACCGGGGAGTCTTCAACAGGGTATTGTTAAACAGAATGAAGGACTCCGTATACGCCCAACTTCGGGACCAACAGGTTGGATTCTGTAAGGATCGGTCGTGTACAGACCAAATCGCAACTCTACGGATCATTGTGGAACAATCAGTTGAATGGAATTCATCACTCTACATCAACTACATTGACTACGTAAAAGCATTTGACAGCGTGGACAGAACAACACTATGGAAACTTCTTCGACACTACGGCGTGCCTCAGAAGATAGTCAATATCATACAGAATTCATATGATGGATTACACTGCAAAATCGTGCATGAGGACAGTTGACAAAGTCGTTCGAGGTAAAGACCGGTGTCAGGCAAGGTTGCTTACTCTCACCCTTTCTCTTTCTCCTGGTGATCGACTGGATCATGAAGATGTCAACATCTGAAGGAAAACGTGGGATACAGTGGACATCTAGGATGCAGTTGAACGATCTAGACTTCGCAAATGATCTGGCCCTCCTACCGCAAACGCAACAACAAATGCAGGAGAAAACGACCAGTGTAGCAGCAACCTCAGCAGCAGTAGGTCTCAATATACACAAAGGAAAAGCAAGATTCTCCGATACAACACAGCATGCACCAATCGAATCACAATTGACAGAGAAGATTTGGAATGTAAAATTCTTTACATATTTGGGCAGCATCATTGATGAACAGGGTGGATCTGATGCAGACGTGAAGGCGCGGATCAGTAAAGCAAGAGCAGTATATTTACAGCTGAAGAACATCTGGAACTCAAAGCAACTGTCAACCAACACCAAGGTCAGGATTTTCAATACAAATGTCAAGACAGTTCTACTGTATGGGCGGAAACCTGTAAAACTACGAAAGCCATCATCCAGAAGATACGTGTGTTTATTAACAGTTGTCTACGCAAAATACTTCGGATCCGTTGGCCGGACACTATTAGCAATAACCTACTGTGGGAAAGATCAAACCAGATCCGAGCGGAGGAAGAAATCAGGAAGAAGCGCTGGAAGTGGATAGGACACACATTGAGGAAAGCGCTGAACTGTGTCACAAGGCAAGCCCCCACGTGGAATCCTCTAAGCCAAAGGAGGAGAGGAAGACCAAAGAACACATTACGTCGGGAAATGGAGACACATGAGAAGAACGAACAACAATTCGATCAAACTAGAAAGGAAGGCCAATGATAGAGTGGGTTGGAGAATGTTGGTCGGCGGCCTATGCTCCATTGGGAGTAACAAGCATAAGTAATAGTTTGAAAATGAATTGATTGAATTAATTGTTATACTACCAAATGATTTTCTTTTTCTGTATTATGAAATTTGCGATCTAGGTCGTCCTCGTGTAGTTAAACGAACCTTAAAATACTTTATGGGTATTCTTAATCGAGCATGGATTGTAAATACTGATTGGGTTCGTGAATGCGTGACATCCAAAAGACTTCTGGATGAGGTAATTTTGGTTGTACTCTTATGGTTTTTGAAAGTCCCTATTAGTTTTTCGCCTCACTCAATCATTTCTACACAGTTTCAAAGAACACTTAATAATGTATTGATGTAGAGGTTTTGTGGCGATTGATTTAATTTCTAGTTGGTCAGTTTGTAAGGAATGTCACCTCATTCGTTTATTGAATAAATCAGATAAAGGTCGCTTAGTGTTAGAGTAGGTGGTCTGCTTCTCTGTTTTGTAAGTTCTGTAGACAGATAATACTGATGGACCATGTGTTGTTAAATTCGATATTTGTGAAAACTTAAGCATAGCTTAACGTATCTCTATGATAAATTGAATCTATGAGTGAATTTTTTATAAAGCAGTAGTCGTATATAACTGTCTCTTAAATATGGTATACTTCAGAGTTAACTAAAAAAAACCAGGATCCACTTTTAAGTACTCTTAGGTACTGATGATCAGATGTTCTTGATTCGATTCATAAAATTTTAAATTAAGTTTGCTTACTGACACTGCTGGATGAATGTGGACCATTCTGTGATAATTGAAATAATCAAAAACACGGAATTCAGGGAAGAGATTTGTTCTCAACGAAATTACTATCATTCGGTATGCATATATACATGGATCGACAACAAATTCATTAAAAACAGATCCTCTCGTGAAATTTCATGTTTTTTTATGTCAAAATACAAATTATAAGTGACTAAGATAATATATTTACGTTTTCTTTTTTACCACAATCATTTACTTTTACCAATCTTCAACCATATTTAGATTTAAGTGTGAACTGCTGCGCAGTATACTCGTCCCTTAATTAATAGACGGATATCTCGCAATCGCCAAGGTGACGTAAGTCGGCAAAAGTCAACGAGCTTTTCGAATCCGTGCAGAGATTTCGCCAGACACCAACCCATTTGGTCTGATCAGACTTCCAAGATAAGTGAAGTTGTCGACGCGTTCGAATATCTCACTCCCTATCCTTAGTTCAGGTGTTGATGCAGGCCAGTCCTGAAGCAGCAATTTGCATTTAGAGGGTGAGAAGCGCATCCCAAACATTCTGGCATTGTTGCTCAGTGCTACCAAAAGACTCCGTATTTTATCAGCATTTTCACCAAACAGGACTATGTCATCTGTGTATTCTAAGTCGATAAGTGGACCTCCTGGTAGGAGATCAATACCCGAGAATTAAGTCGACGAGAATCTTATTACCATTAGTAGGTCTATGATGAAGTTTAACAAAATTGGAGAAAGTGGACAGCCTTGACGGACACCACTTGAGGTTGCACAAGTAGATGACAGTTCGCCATAAGCTCTGACTCGACTAGTAGTGTTCGAGTAAAGAGCCTTTACAAGGTTTATGTACTTCTGGGGTACGCCTTTCAATGACAGACACTGCCACAGAATCTCGCGATCTATGCAGTCAAATGCAGCTTTTAAGTCAAGAAAGACCACCATTGTCGAACGCCGATAAGCATGCCTGTGTTCTAGAACCTGACGAATGGTGAATATGTGGTCGATGCAGCCACGACCAGGTGTGAAGCCAGCTTGGTTCTCTCGTTTTTGCAGTTCACGAGTCTTAGTTAGGCGTCTGATAATTATCGAGGCTAGTATTTTAGATACTATATTGGTTAAACTAATCCCTCTATGGTTATCATGGGATGATTTCGACCCCTTCTTAGCAGCTGAAGGTCAGCTAAACTGTTCTCTAAAGTGTTCCACCCATCGTTCTAATAATTTAGACTGAGAGTAGATAAGAGTGTCGTCTTTTTCCGATATCGTCTTACTTACACTTGACTTTTTAGTTCCAGTTTCTTTTATTAGTCTGAAGAGCTGTCTTGTGTTACCTACAGCCGCCGCCTTTTCCATCTCTTTTGCTTTCAATGCCCACCACTGCTCACGCTCGTTCCTTGGACTTTTGGTTAACCTAGATCTAATTTGTTTACGCTCTTCATCGTGTTCAGAGCCTGATGTGATGAGTCTACAAGAATCCATCAGTGCAATAAACTTAGAAGAAATCCATTGTTTTTTTTGTAACCTTTTGGTTTAAATCATCAATAGATGTAACTGCTGTTTACACAGCTGTTGGTATATCTTTCCAAGCAACATCTGGGTCAGCCTGGTTTTCAGAAATGATTTGGAATTTACCTTTGGCCTTCTCATCGCTGAGTTCAACTCTAATTAGTCTTCTTAATGTGACTTTTCTAGGTCCAGTAGGGCGTAAGCAAATGTGTGCTCGTATTAGAACACGATCAGAGTCTAAACATGTATTTCAGAACGTGCGACAATCTTCTATCAAACCTCCCCAACGATGACTTATGGCAATATGGTTTATTTGAGTCCATTGGTGGTTTGATACGGCTGTTCGCCATGTTAGGCGATGTCTCTCATTATGCTTAAAATCAGTGCTTATTGAAAATAATCAATTGTCTGAGCACAGCTGCAGCAGATCACCATTATCTGTTCGCTGAACCGGAATACTAAAAGGCCCACCTAAATGTCTTTCTGTTTGATTTAAGCTACCTACTTGGACATTAAAGTCATCTGCTACGAGTACTGTCCGAGCGTTTAGCTTTATGAAGATGTTCAGAGAGGTTTCCGTAAAAGTCATCTTTCACTTCATCTGGGCTGCAGTCAATAGTGTCGTAAGTAGAAATAACGAAAAGGCAACGATGTGTGTCCCTATACTTCCGAGTTCTTACGGAGCCGTTTAGCCGAACATCCCATAGACGACTGTTAACAGGGATCCGTCCCAATAGTGCTTGTTCTGCCCTCTTATTTAGTGCTATGCCTACACCTGCCAGTCCACGAGAACTAGTAACCTGGTCTCCAGATACACGGAGGGTGTATCTTGTCGGCTCTTTGTTTTTGCGAGGTGACGTCAGGTGAATGAGCACACTAGGATCCTGTATGCGTGTTTCGGAGACACAGCATACATCAATGGTACGAGATTCTAGAGTCTTAGCCAAGGAGTCCTGCTGGCCCATTTGACGTAGGGCACATACATTGAACGCTCCAAGGTGTAGTTTTGAGTGAGTTTTCAGTTGACTTGGGACAGTGTTTTGCGCACTAGAATCGTTGGCTATGGTAGCACTCTAGGAGTAAGTTTATAGTTGGTAGTTGATGCAAGAGGAACAATAGGGGTTGAAAAGGGATTTTGATTATGAATACGGTGGTCTCGAGTGCAATTCTAGATTTTCTAACTGCTTTTATTATTTAAACAGCTTATTATTAATGTCCATATTTTCTGTTTTATTAATAATAGTCGCCATATGAGATTGAAGGAGATACAGTTTGTGGCGATTGTCATGAGGGTCCTAGACGTGGTAGACTTGGTGTACCAGCCATTCCTCAATCTCTTGACAGGTTACCTTTCCGAAATTCCTCTAGCCGATTGAATGAAGCTGAATCCAGTGATCGCCGTCCATTTGCTGAACTATGGCTCTGTGCATATCGTAATTTGGGAGCTCTACAAGTGGCTGATTTTTGTCAGTTGGCATTAGATGGAGGTGCTACACGAGTTTTCGAAAAACCTTCGGAATTAATGGATGCAACCAATAAATTAACTGAATCGCTGGGAATTATAGGGACAGATGTTCGGAAACCGCGTGCTGTAATTCTTACAGACAAAGATTCTTCTGAATTCAATCTTCAAGAGTGTCAGGGTACGTTTTTAGGAGTACTAATCTGACTATTAGCGAATGTTTGGAGAGGATTATTGTACATTGGGAAACTAGCATGTATTTTGCCACGATTGTTGTAATAACTGTGTACCTATGAATCTTTCATATATCAATAATTAGCTGTAGAGACTTAGTAGTATCTCTTTTTTACAAAAGAATTATAGTCAATGTACTGCATTATCTAACTAGAGTCATTGACGTACTTTTAGAGATAACACTCTCCTCATCTAAATTTACAGGGGTTGAACTTCTACCGGGAGGTTCACTTGTTGACTTAGAATATGCAGATGACATAGTTTTATTTGGTGAAGACGCTGACAAAATGCAGAGTCTTCTGACCACTCTAAGCAACAATGCAAGCATGTTCGGGATGCGATTCTCCCCCTCCAAATGCAAAATGTTGCTTCAGGATTGGGTTACATCGACACCCGAACTAGTGATAGGGAGTGAAGTAGTTGAGTGTGTCGACCGCTTCACTTATCTTGGAAGTCTCATCAGCCCTTGTGGTTTAGTGTGTGACGAAATCTCAGCACGGATACAGAAGGCTCGACTAGCTTTTGCCAACTTGCGTCATTTATGGCGTAGGCGAGATATCCGTCTATCAACCAAAGGACGTGTTTACTGCGCAGCAGTTCGTTCCGTCCTACTTTATGGCAGTGAAACATGGCCGGTAAGAGTAGAGGATATTCGTAGGTTACTAGTATTTGATCATAGGTGTCTTCGAAACATTGCTCGTATATCATGGGACCATCGAGTAAGTAACACAGTTGTTAAGAAACGGGTACTAGGTAAGGATGGCAAATCAATTTATGAAGTAGTGAAACTTCATCAGTTGAGATGGCTTGGACATGTGTTACGTATGCCCAACGACCGACTGCCTCGACGTGCTATGTTCAGTGGTATAGGAGTAGGTTGGAAGAAATCTAGGGGCGGCCAGACCAAAACATGGCACAAGTCCATGAAGTCACTGACAAGTGAACTGAGTCATGTCGGTAGGTGTAGACTACCTGGTTGGGGACCGCGAGATGATAGCAACCGATGGTTAGAGACCCTGAATGACATGGCTCAAAATCGTTTGCAATGGCGCAGGTGCATCCACTCTCTGTGTTCTCCCAAATTCTAATCTTCTGAATCCTTCATGTCCCTTTTTTCCTCTTTCCAAATTTATTTCACTGGATTATACTCTTTAAATAACATCTCCAAACCCTAAACTAGTTTTCCTGATTACTGCTTATACTCTTATTACCTCTACCACTACGGGATTTGAATCGACAGCTGCATCATCTCTGTGCTAATGTGGTGTGGCAACTCGAACTGATGTACGTACGTACGAAGTTCTACGTTGTTACTGACTGACTGACTGACATCACATCAAATACTTTATTACGGTAATGGGTACTTTCTTGGCGAGTTAGTTCATAAAGTGAAACCAGTGAGCATATGTTGAACATTCCATGCTTAACTCGTGATCTTCGAAAAACTTTATTTTTCATATCCTTGTACTGTGGATGAGGTATAGTATCTAATAAGTCTGGATCTGTTAAAATCCGATACTGGTGCTTAATTGGGAAAATTTATGTGTTCGATTCTTGAAAAGGTACTTTTGATTGAAGCTACCTGTTTTCATCAGATTACTTTAAGGTTGTTAATGTACATTTTGTTCAAGAAATCCATGAAGAAAAAGCTTTAGCTATTGATTTCTAATAGAACAGATGAATATAATCCTACTGTTCCCATCAAAAGTAATTGACTATTAACATGAATACCAAAGGACTTTTAGAAATTGATTATTGAACATATTGAAAACATAAGCGTTACGAGCCCATTCACTTTCCATTTCTAATGACACGAGGTCAATATACCTAATTGTTATCCGACGAAATGGTTATCCAGTAATTCGAATTTTTTAGAGGTTGTTTAACTTAGATATTGGTCTGTGATAAAAATAAAACGAAACAATTTCCACAATCCTATACGAATAGTGTAAAATAATTTCATCAATTACTTTTAAATATTTAATTACGATGTTTTTTGTCACTTTTGTAAGTCACATTTTACTGACCAATACGTTTGTCCTTGTTAACATTTCAGAGCTCTATCGAGTTTACGGTGTGCCTGTTATAAGTATTGAATGGATGCTGAACTGTATTTCATTATATCGTCGTTTACCAATTAATCAAGCTTATCGTATATGTCCAACTCCTCAACCTGTTTCCGTATCTATTTCCAAATCTTAATTACTGTGTGTGTATGCGTGTACACATAAAATAATTTACCATCTTTATATTATTATCATTTTCTTCTAATTTTGTTTCTACCTTCCAATATATTTATCATAGTCAGTCATCTTTTGTGTAATATTTAATCTGTTCCCTGTTTTTCCAATTGTTTTACTCACTCTAAGTATTTGAAATGATTAAAACCAATACATTATTTAATGAGCTCTGTCAATTCATAACTTTTGGATTATCCGTAAAAATATTAATGAAAATTTTCTTCATCTCTTGCTTTTATTTGATTTTACAACTGTTAGTTTTCAATGTTGGACACTTTGAAAAAGCTCTTGTTGAAAATGTTATTTATATTTATCGGGAAGAAGATATATTTGTAAATTTGTTGATTATATATATATATGCCTTTTTGTTAATCAGTTATTTCTAGTGTCTACCTATTTCGGGGTTCTGTAAGTTGCTACTTACTCAATATTTACGGGGTGTGTGACTTAAGATGTACATTGTCTTAAGTAAACAGTATGTGCATGTAATGCTTATTTATATATCTAGGGTCAAACACAATGGTAGTTTCAAAGAGCAAAGTAGTTTGTACAGTAGTAGTAAATCCGTACCAGCTGATTTATCTAAGGTGTTTGTCGTACGTTCTTTAATTCTACGTACCTTTCAATAATTGGTTATTTGTAATTAGGAAACGGATGTAAGCACTCTCCATCCTGGTGATAATGACATGCCACGAGTTTTCATTTAGTGGTATATGGATCTTTTGTGTGGTACCGTAAATATAGTTGACATTGGTAAGTTTCGAAGTGATGCAATACACTTAAAGAATCAAGTCAGTAAACTGAATATACTTGTCATATGTATTCACTCGTTTATATCATATTCTATTCATTATCCGTCATCGAATATTTTTACCTGTTTTCAATTTTATTTTGCCTTTCCCCAGAAGTTAATGTTCACAATTGGTTAGTGAATCACTAATATCTACAAAGAATAAATATATATTAGTATCATACTGTCCTCGAATTCTGTTTTCATTTGTTTGGATGGTGTAAGATTTTATTTGTCGTTAATACACAGGTTCAAAGATTGGTTTATTAATCAAAATTGTAGATCAACACTCCACCTGGTCTTTCACTGTTATCTAAAACACACGACTTCCCAATATTTTATTAGAAATTTAACGGAAAATTATCCATCGTGACATTTCAGTATAAGTTGATGTTTTTTTATTTTTTTAAAGTATAAAAAATGTTGATTGGCTTTTATGTAAGTGATTTCCATCTAAACTATTTTTGGAATGGTTGGTTCCATCTATATTTCTCATCGTACACAACATTTTGGATTAGTTTGTCTTGGAGTATCACTTGATAATTTCAGTTGTGGACATCGCAAATTATAATCTTCTTGAGCGCATAGTAATCTGTAAGAATGTATACATCAATGTAAAAGTATTTTCTAAAAACTGCTCAGCTAAACATATTTAACACAAAAAAGTTTCATAGTTTTAGTTATTCTGAAGCAAAATTATCAAGTTATTGTGGAATTAGTCTATTCATAACGTATAACATTATGCTTGATTGTATTTTCTATTTAGAAGTAAATCTTTCCAGCTGGTTTCTACACTTAACACAGTAATCCTAAATGACGATTCATTCTTCCACTTTGAGCTACATAATGTCAAACGGTGAATTCATTTAGTCACTGAAGACTGGAGAATACCGGACAGATATTTCGTCCTAGTATAGAACCCCATAGCATTGCGCACTCAAAACTCCACCAGGATCTCTACGTATCAGCGAAAGCCTAACTAATTTGTGGCGATTAAACATACAGGTTGAATCTGTCTCTGCAATACCCCTTCAGCTATTGTCAGAAACTGTAAAAGATGCCTGTTTAAGGTGAATTTCTAGACAAAATATATGCATCAATAGTGTGTTCGGAATAGGTAATATCAAGTGGGAGATATCTTGAATACACTGGACAAGTAAATTACACTTTTAAAAAGGATTCTGTAGAAGGTTTCACTTTACCATTCAAAAGTGAGTTCGATCACAATGTTTGTTAATCTTATCGTCAGTATGCTTTTAAATAGTTTCATCTACTATACAAACGAATAAAATAGACCTATATAATCATAAAAACGCTACGGTTGGAGGGATTCGAAAACAGTCTTCGAATGAGGAATCGTCTTCGTCTGTAGTCATTTTGATCGCCTCTTGTAGATCTGATCATATAAATTGCCAAAATGCATCAGTGAACTATGTTCATTAAGGTATCAACTGTTTATTTTAGTGAATTTCACCCAGCGAAATACCTTGGATTTTCAGTGATTAAATAAGACGTGATTCAGGAATGTGCATTCACTTGGGTAGGTGTTAATTAGTTGGCCTCATATGCGTCAACGATGTATCCCAGGAAATGTCACTCAATAAGTCTAATAGTTGAAACTCTCACTTTAACCGAGTGATTTGAAAAGAACGGTATATCATTAATTGAAATAACGGTAACAACAGCTGGAAACTGCTTGTCAATGAGAAATAACAACTAAAACTAAACATTTCATTGATTAAAGTACAGAATATTCATAATTTCTAATGCACATAATTTTTCTGATTAATAAACTTGACTAAGACAATAACAACGAATGTAGCAGAATAAAGTAAATTCATTTATTCTATGGATTCTAGTCAGCTGTCTACAACTTGAAAACAATAGTAATAATTATTTATTATAACCCATGTACATACTTGGTATCACATTAATGAGAATTATTAAGTTGACGACAACAAGTATGGAAGAATTATGGAGTAGTGAAGTGAACGAATATTTATGTTACTAACTGTAGAAATCCTTAAGGAGAAATTTTATTACTATATGGTGACACTTTTCCAGAGAATAAATAATAATGTCAAAGTTACCTAATAATCATAAAATTTGACAGGATAACAGTAAGGTGAGTAAAGCTCAGGAAAATTTAAGATTGGAAATGAAATTTGTTGTTTTGACTATGATTTCAGGTATTGAATAATTGAATAGTAAAAAAATAAAAGTAGCCAAGGAAACGAGAGATTTACAACTGATTCTTTTTGAATACATAAATTTTTAATATTTTTCTTATAGAATTTTCACAATTATATATTCGTCTACTTTACCGTTTTATGATTCTTCCATACTTATTGTCGTTATTTTACTAATGTTCAATAATATGATATAAAGTAAGTATATTGTTTATAGATAATAATTATTGTTATTTTTAGGTTGTAAACAGTTGACAAGAATCCACGAAGTAAATGAATTTACCTTATTCTGCTACATTCTTTGTTCCTATTTTAGTCAAATTTTCAATTTTTCTAAAATATATTTCCTTACCTTGCTAGTGCTTCTATGCATTCATTTACATTTTCACCAGTCAATGCACTTGTTTCGAAGAAAAGTGCTCCAATCTCCTGGAATTATTGTCAAAAATGTATAGATGATACATTATCGCTATTAACTTGTCAAGAATACTACAATAAATCTGTGTAACTTAATAGTAAACTATAATTCAAGAAACAAAAGTAGTTAATGTCAAAATAATCATTCAAATTAAGCCTAGTTGTCCGAAGACTTCCCAGCACCTATCAGTTTGCACGAAAAGTGGATTTAGTTAACCAGAAAAAAATCAACCAACTAGGAATATATAAATCTTGATATTAATCTGGTCACTTGGTGTGTACTTGCTCATTTCCATCAATCATTGATCCATTTGTCAGGGCTGGTGATAGGCGGCCTGCTTGAATATCTGGGCTACCTGTTCCTTCGATCTATATATTTCTTCAAGTTATCTGTTTTGTTGTTCGTTTTAGCATATCAATATGTCTATTGTGCTCACAATCTATTCGGGCGCGTTTATGAAAAGTTTACAACCTTTCGCTATACGGGATACAGAAAGGTACAATCAGCGACATCATGGTGGCTGGCAATATGCATTGAAACGAACAAACATTAATCAAATGCGGATTATCGAATTCCTAAAATCTAACTGGTCACCATTCGAAATTTATCGTCACAATCGATCAAGATATAAGAAAAAGAAACTTGTTGAAATACTTTATGCTGAGAATTCTATGTTGTACGAAAAGTATAATGTTGAATAAAGCTTCTTATAATAATAATAATAATAATAATCTGTCTTCGAAATCTCTATTTTGAACGTGATGTTGATAAGCTTTGTAGCTAAATCACCCGCCAAGCTTATTTTTGAGACTAATTCATCTGTGATTCATAATCAATGACCTTAGCTCCATGAAAGCACTTAGTAGAAACTCATACAGCTTTCCACTCTTAAGTAATGGGGGTTGGTCTGATCCAATTTTTTTTCCAAAGTTCCACAGTAATTTATCACTGTGTTGTTATTTTTTATACTTTTCAAATCATAACTTCTATACCACCATCAGGATAGTCATTTTAACGTTGATTGAATGAAAATATTTATCCTAGTTAAAACAGTTTGATGAAAACTATACTACTAGATGCTAGATTCTAGATTACCCAGATACTTCATTATGACCTCCTTTTCGATACGTTGAAATCTATTGATTGGTCTAAGCTAACACGCTTTTTGAATTTTTATATACCTCTGTTAAGTCATTTATATTGATGGGGGATAATTGAAAAATTTAGAAGTAACTTTTGACTTGTTTAATACTTGTAAGCTGTATATATATAGCTCATTAGGTAAAATTTATTAGTTTTGTTGAAAGCAGAAACATGAAAATACTTGGATAATGATAATTTAAAATTAGGATATTTGTAAAGTGCAAAGGTATGTTAAAGAGCCCATCAGTGACTTTCACAATCAACTAATATTATGAAAGATTATAAATGAAAACAGTTGAAATAAAAAATTGAGTACACTTATTTCATATTGTTACATTCTAGTCAGCAACTACTTACAGTTGATAATCTTAATTTTCTTCTATGAATGAACTTTGTTACAATATTTACCTGGTTTTATAGAT